TGACGGAATATGAGAGTTTTCACGCTCTTCGTCAAGTTTTCTCATGTTCAATTGTTCAGAAAGAAACGTACAAATGAGATGAGTGAGCAGAAGAATCCGAATTGTATCCTCTCAGGTGTTCTCAATAGATTTTTTGTGTCAAAGTGAATGATGGAATGTTTCAAAATTATTGGATGAACTACATGTGGACACGTTTGTTGCAGATGTTAATGATAGGGGAGTTAAATTTTAATTGCCGCGAATGAAACTCGCTGATCTGGGTGAAGATCATCACATTAGCTGTTGCAATCACCATATACCCCGACGACAAATTGTTCGTGTGGAAACTAACACGAAATATTGCGCTCAATGCGATCATTTTTATAGATTTTAAGTAAAAATTGCTATTGCATCATATGTATCCAGAGAGTAACTCACACGTACAAAAACAGTAATAATGTAGTAATAGGAGGGAAGCAATTCACCAGAATCTTATGAATGAGAATTTTGCGATGAACGATGCAATCAAATTAATTGCTTCATTAAATACTAAAGCATGCATGTGCTCAAAACGAGCATAATAGAGAACAAACAGGATTTGGAACGTGTGAAAAGAAAACCGTCGAAATTAGCGTAATAGTAAATGCTTGAAGCAACAAGTTCCATGTAAACATTGCCGAAGCATTTGTTTTTCACTATGTTGTTTGTTATTCGGTGATTTTTCGAAATTATCTGCTCTGCATTCAATTCACGCAATTAAACATTTCTTCATTGAAGCATTTAGTTGAGGACTCTCAATTTTTGTCAAGTCTTCACTGAAAATAAGAACTTATTGATGAGTTTTTAATGTAAAATTANCAGCAAACCATAAAATTCATTCGGCATGACAGGTAAGATGAGTAAGTGTTGTGGATGCATTACGACTGAGTTTTGTCGCCATTTTCAACCGCTTGCTCCCTCTTAGAGCATTGATCGCTTCTGTATCATAATCGAAAATTGATAGGCTCAGATAGTGGAATACTTGAATGGTCTATTTGTATCTCCATTATCACAAGGATTATCAGTGGTGTTACATTGATAATGGTGAGCAGACAGACCTGTGCAAAAAACTTCAACTGGATGGAACATACGTCGTGGGATTACCAGAAGGGCACATGCATGATCAATTCATCCTCTTAGGCAATAATATAAGTGCGTGCACATGAAAAGAAAGCATCATTTAAATATCTACGATGAAATTCAAACAGTCTAGAGGATATACTTTATTTCTAACAGTATCACAATGTGGTATAACGAATGAACTAGAATTCACCAATGCAGTGATCTAAATTTCGTTGGGTAGATTATCAACGACAACAAAAAACAATTTTAACAGAAAATTTTGAAACCGACACTGAATCATTGGTAGCAAGTTCGAATGTCATTATACAAGCCAACAGAACACTTTGCATGAACAGGCAACAAATTTATAGTACAATTATTCGTTATTTCTGTCAGGAACTCTATAAGAGTTCGGCCTAGTGAAGTGAATAAATAATAAAACAAACAACGTGACAAATAATCTTCACTGAATGCATTTCATTAAATCACCAATAGTTCCCCAATCCTTAAGGTTTACGGAATACAATGAATTTTGATCCAATTGGTTGTGTGAGACAAATCCCCTTATGAAGTAGTTGGTAACAATTTTCATGGATTCAACACTCGGTCCATTGGCGAATCCTTTCAGAAGTCTTGCCGACAACACCCTCAACATCAGCCTTTGAACTGGATCCTCGCTTTCAGTGGCCGCTGCAAACCGATGAATTGTTTTGATCTTGAAGTACACATTGTTCGATCTCACAATCGAAAGCAACATCAAGATTCCAGACGAAGTTCCAAAGCGAATTCTCATTAAATCGAACGAGAGATTGTAAATGAGAAGATAACATGAAAAGGAAATATCCTCATTTATGTAAAGAATAAAAAACACCTTCTTCAATCGCTTGATTCAGAAGGGGATCATCCATGGGACTGAAGACTTCGTTTAAAGTCTGGCAATCGCCCCGAGCTTTTGAGGCAGCAGTGGATGCTTTTGATGCGTTCAAGACTTCAGCCAAATCAAGATCTCGCTCCACAGTCGTTATTTCTTCGGATTTTTCTGTGGATTCAGATGTTTCTAGATCAT